TGCTGGCGGTTGGCGGGAGCTCTGGGGTGCTTGGCTTGCTCCTTCTTTCCTATTAAAGTACGTCGTGTTTTACTATCGTATCCATACGAATTGGGAAACTCTGTGCCACAACTTTCCAAAGAAGATATTTACTCGTAATCCTATCAGTACGCTTTGCAAAGCAGTCTGTCAAAATGATTTTTGAGAAATACTGAAAGTTTCAAAGAGATCTTCGTACTAGAAGTATTTAAAAAAGTGAAGAAAATTACCCCAGGGTGGACGGATAGGGTTAGACATCTATCATCCTGATCTCTCCTCCTTTTTACTTGTGTGCTTTTTACTCTCTTGTAACACCCCTACTCTTCGGCACTTATGGCTTTATTGTGTTGCAAGTGCTGTAAAACGCTTACTAAAACTGAGTCTGAGACATCTCCCCATCGTGACACGATCTTGCGCACTTCCTCAGACTCAGTCAACGACCACGGCTACGAGGCTCACTTCGACCTGCAGAACAACAGAGGTCAGATTCTCAACGGTCTGGGCTGGGACAACGCTGAGGTCACGTGGGAGGAAGTCAGTTGTGCCCATGACTACATCAATCTCTGGCATTCCTGCGAATGTCATGGTCACCACTGAAATGTTTCAGTGCGTAGAGGAAATCAGGCGCTTGACAAAAATTTAATTTTAAGGAAATTAAAAAAAAACATTTTCCTGTCCGTTTCGCAGTTTCAATTGATTTTTCTTTTGCTCAATACTTATCATATATCCATTTGAAAACACATTTATGAATGTGAATTTTACTGGGAAAACGTTGATCAAAGCGACATAAAATGTAAATTTGTAGTTTCCAAGGACACTCAAGTTTGGAAGTCATAAAACTTTGGCGACCATTACCTCGCTTATTTTTTCTTTTACCTCTGCCGCCCAGAAACCTAGATCTACACACTCTTAATGGCAGAAACTAGACTTCTATTTTAGATAGAAGGGTATTTATATTATTTCTTTTTAAAGAAGTTAGACAAATGAACAATCTTTAGATATTAAACACATTTTTCACCAGAACAATCTTTAACTTAAAGTTAAAGATGTTAGATCTACATGTACCAATAACTCCGTATGCCCAAAACAT